TATCCCTGTGATATAATAATGGCTCATTTCCTCACTTTCTTCATAGCACTTCTCTGTGAGTTGTAGTTATTATATTCACTTATATGTTTTGTCTGTCTCATCAGCTTAGTGAAGCAGGAACCATGCCTGTCTTGTTTACTACCACATTTTGACACAGAAGCCAGGCTTAATAAGTATTTGTTGGATTAAATGGAATGTTAAGTTGATTTCTATCTACCACATAAACCTGAGAGAAGGGATGGTTGTTTCAGCTCTACAGCCAACAAAACATTTGTTTGTCATAAGTATAAACAAATAATCATGATTGATTTACTTGTATTGTTAATATAATTTTTTGTTTCTTAGGCTCTATGCTTATCGCTTTTAGTATAGCCCAGAATTCAGCATCTTTTCACTCTTGCAACTTTCTCCCTGTCCATTTTCTCTCCATCTCTGTCTCCTCTCTCCTCCCTGTCCCCTTCTTTCTCAGATTTTTTTTTTAATTTTTAATTTTTAAAATTTATTTATTTTTTTGGTTGTGTTGGGTCTTCGTTGCTGTGTGTGGGCTTTCTGTAGTTGCAGCAAACGGGAACTACTCTTCATTGCAGTGCGTGGGCTTCTCATTGCAGTGGCTTCTCTTGTTGCAGAGCACGGGCTTCTAGGCATGTGGGCTTCAGTAGTTGTGGCACACAGGCTCAGTAGTTGTGGCTCATGGGCTTAGTTGCTCCACAGCATATGAGAGCTTCCCAGACCAGGGATCGAACCCTTGTCCCTGCATTGGCAGGCGGATTCTTAACCACTGTGCCACCAGGGAAGTGCTCTTTCTCAGATTTCAAAGATTTATTCTAAAAGTATCTGCTTAGGGACTTCCCTGGTGGTCTAGTGGTTAAGACTCCACATTCCCAATGCAGGGAGCCCAGGTTCGATTCCTGGTCAGGGAACTAGATCCCACATGCCACAACTAAGACCTGGCGCAGCCAAATAAATAAATAATTTAAAAAATAAATGAAAGTATCTGCTTATTACTGTTTACCTTTGTAGGCAGAGAAAGCAAGCTAACTAAATTTCCCAAGGTCCAATAATGATTCATTTGCTGAGTTGGAATTAGCATCTTCTAGCCTTGGTTTCCAGGTAGATCATGTATCTTGCTACTGTTCTGCCAGGCACACTCTTAAATTACACTGGATACACATGAGTGAAACTTGTTTTCCTTATGCTGCTGTTTCACTGTTGATACTTACTTGACATGATTGATATCCAAAAGGTTGTGGAGTTACTGTAAAACTCCTTACCTCGTCCTTGCCAGATGATCA